ATGATATACCTCTGAGTTACCTCAATAACGATTACTACACGGCCAAAAATGGTAAGTGGATGAAACATCCTTATCCTAGCACGCGCATACGTACTCAGAATATTCGTACACAACCCACAGGGCCTAAAGGGGCTGCTTAAAATGTGTCATCGGAGCTAGAATGTTTTGAATTATTCTTTGATCAGTCTATCATAGAACTCGTAACAAATTCTACAAATATCTACATATAGCAAGTGAAAACTAAATTTTCCAGAGAGCGAGATGCAAAAGTTACGGATATCTTGGAAATGAGAGCTTTTATTGGCATGCTTTTTGTAATAGGTGTTCAGAAATCCGGAAGACGTAATTTGGAAGATATCTGGGATACAACGCGAGGTATAGGTACCGAATTGATATATCTCGTCATGTCTCTAAGTAGATTTAGATTCCTTCTGCGAACGGTTAGATTTGATGATGTAAGGGATAGAGCAGTTCGTAAACAACAAGATAAATTAGCTCCAGTTCGAGATATTTTCGAGAAATTAGTCAATAACTGCCAACAACACTTTGTTCCAAGTGATTTCTTAACTTTGGATGAACAGCTTGTTGCTTTCCGAGGACGATGCCCTTTTAGGCAATATATACCAAATAAACCCGCAAAGTACGGTATCAAAATATTTTTACTAACGGATACAAAGGTACCTTATACCTACCACATGGAAATATACGCAGGAGCTCAGCCGGATGGTCCTTATGCACAATCAAATAAAGTTGTGGATATTGTGCAACGAATGCTAGCCCCACTGGATGGTTTAGGTTGTAACGTTACAATGGATAATTGGTTTACTAATATACCTCAAAGTTTAGAGCTCTTAGATCATAAAATTACTGTCGTAGGCACTGTGAAAAAAAATAAGCCACAAATTCCCGAAGAATTCAAAATCACCAGAAACAGAAGTGAAAGCAGTTCCATTTTTGGCTTCCAAAAACAAGGTACTTTAGTATCTTACATGCCCAAACCAAAGAAATTGGTTCTAATGTACTCAACTATGCACTATGATGATCATATCGATTTACAAACGGCAGAAAAACGTAAGCCAGAAATAATAACATTTTACAACAATACCAAATATGGCGTGGACATTGTAGACAAAATGTGTAGTACTTATGACGTATCCAGAAACTCCAGGCGATGGCCTCTTACTATTTTTTTTGATCTTATGAATATAAGTGCTATAAACGGTTATATTATACATACAATATATAAGGACTTCAGTAATAAGGCAAGGAAGGATTATTTATACGAACTTGGTTTTCGCCTAGTTGCACCATGCATACAGCGCAGAATATCTATTGAAAGTATTCCAAAATCCTTGAAAATGAAAGGGAAAATGCTTTTAGGTATGAATGACCCATCAGAATTACAACCATGCCCAGCACAACCCCCCAATACTGGTCGCGTTGGAAAATGTTCCTTTTGTGGCAGAGCGCGCAATAAGTCCACCAGAAAACAGTGTTACACATGTAACAAGTGGATTTGTCCTCAACATCAGGTTCTACAATGTCCTGACTGCTGTAAAAATGATGAAGACCGTTTGGAGGATATGAGCGAGTAAAAAAAAAGTCACAAGAAAGTTTGAAGTCAAAAAATTATTGATTTTTCTCAAAATTTACAAGAAGTCTGATATTATGTTCCTAATAAATGTTAACAGTTATGCTTTGTCTGTTTTAGTTTCTTATTAAAGTTTATTTTTATATGATATTGAAATATTTTTATTTTATTTATATTGTCCCTGTAAAATCTTTACACAAAGTTGTTCTACATATGTAGAGCGCGCGAGCACTCGCGTTCCAATCAGGGGCGCGTGTACTGGAGTGTTAATACTATTTATGACGACAAGTGTAATGAAATATATACAAAATATTCAATAATTTTTTTCAGACTGAATCCTCCAAAGATGGTCAGAGTAAAGACTTGTGGAAACAGACTACACTCATAGATATGTTTGAAAGAAGTTCAAGCTATGAAGGTATTTTTTTTTTTATATTAGATTACTGTATTGTTTACATTTTAGTTCTATGAGGATGTTCTAATTTTATTATTTTTCTCAATTTAGCAGGGGGTCATAAAACTAGCCAAATAAATCAAGCTTTGATCTACATGATTTGCAAAGACAACATGCCTCTATCTTGTGTAGAAAAATCAGGATTGAAAAGATTTATGAGCGTCATTTGTCCACGCTATAAAATTCCATCACGAACTACTGTAAGCGAACTATAATATTAAATTATTATCTTATCCTTTTTATTTTTAAATGTTATTTTATTATTCATTTCTCATTCCAGATAACTGGCCTCATGGAACAACGATACGCCACTACCAAAGCCATTTTAAAACAAAAATTAAGTGAGATAAATAATATTGCTTTAACAAGTGATATATTAACTCTTACTAACTCGACACGAAGTTTCATCGTAGTGACAGCACATTTTCTTAACACAGCTAATAACTGCACTCCTGAGCATGAGATGGTGACATTGACAGCACGAAGAATGTATCAGGTAAGTAAAGTATAAAATAAATGCATCAAATTATAAAAAATAAAATAAATAGTTAATTATAATAAATTTAATAAAGTGGATTAATATTGGTCTTCTTTCCTGCAGGCGCACACAGCTGATTATATAAAAGAATGCTTTGAAAATATTACCGACGAGTTTACAATAGAAAAGGATTGCATCTTATCAATTACCACTGATGGTGGTGCTAACATGGTTGCTGCAGTGAAGAAATTTTTGGAAGATGGAAAAAGAATTCCTTGCATGGCGCATTTGCTGAATTTAATAGTGGATGGCGCAACAAGAGATAATGCACCAGTTCTTGAAATTGCCAATCGTGTCAAAGCCATTGTTACATATTTTAAACAATCTGTGAACGCAATGGACGATTTGCGAGCAGAACAAGAGGGACAAAAGAAAGAGGGAGAAGTATTAACACTTATACAATCAGTAAGCACAAGGTGGAATTCTTGTCTTGATATGTTGGAAAGATTCAATACATTATCAGCTATTGTGGCTAAGATTTTAGCAACTAGGCGGAATGCACCTGATATGATAACTTCTTCAGAGTTAAGTGTCATACGAGATCTGATAATATTGCTTACCCCATTTAAGCAAGCTACTGAAGAAATTTGCGGCGATCAGTACGTGACTTCTAGTTTGGCGATTCCCGTTGCAAACTTACTTCAGAAAGGACTTGAAGAAGTAAAACCTTTCACTGAATTTGGTGTTGCTGTTCAGAAGAGTTTGCTAAACTTAGTTATTGCCAAACTAGAACCACTAGAGCGACATTTACATCTTGCTATAGCAACAATTTTAGACCCTCGCTTTAAGCGTATTCATTTTAATTCAGCACTAGCTGTTTCCACTGCAATAACCGCATTATCAAAAGAAATACGTTTAGAACATAGACGTAGAGGACAACTTTCGCCTGAACTCAGACCCACAACCACTACCATAATTCCAAATTCAGAAAATTCTTCGCCGTCGTTGTGGTCCGGACATGAAAAAATTATGATAGATATTGCTGCAGCAACCTCCAGTTTACTTTCAACCAGTGATGGTATGCCTAGCGAACTAAAGCAATATCTAGATCAGCCTATAATACCCAGAAAAGAGAATCCTACAAAATTCTGGTTTGATTGTCGTCATTTTACTCCAGTCCTTTCCGACATAGCTCTAAAGTATTTGATATCGCCTGCGTCCTCGGTTTCCTCAGAGAGAGTGGCATCTGCTGTAAATCTCGCAGTACCCAATAACAGAAGTCGGCTTACAGCCGAGCATGTAAATCAAAGAGTTTTTCTCATGTCTGTATCAGATAAATATTGGTTTGATTAATAAATAATTAATATTTTTTATTGTTGTCCTTGATTTAAAAAATTTAAAAATGATGTCTATTGATTAGTATTTATCTAGTAATGTAAGATGATTGAAGTAGATTAGGCCAAATAATTTTTTTTTCCTATCACACCGATATATCGATATTTTTAAATAAAAATATCAATATTGATATATTCAAAAATTATCGATACTTTATTGCATTTCCGACATCCCTAACATGAATGGCTCATGCATGATAAACGCACGTTAGAACCACTGAGCCTACACTGATCTTCGAATGAAACTATTGATTACTTATTGATAAACTAGATATTTCCATAGCGCGTGTTAACAACCCGGAAGCGCCATCTCTTGAGAAAATGCAAAACTGATAGTTTTGCCGACAGTGCTGCCGTCCGACACTTTTGTTCTTACGGCCATTTGAGACAATTTCATTAAATTCCGAAAACTCGTATAAAAATATTACAATTAAATAACATCTAGGGAAAATAGTCAACTAATTGAGAAATGCATTATCCATAACGTTACATAGGATTTTGGAAGTTGCCATTTTTAACAATTTCAGTATCGCCGTATTAAGTAGACTGTCTATACTCTCATGTTTCATTCCGTAGAATTCTGACATTTCATAAGTGTTGCTACTAAAAAAGTTCTCCATCGAAAATGGGACAAATTTGACCCATTTGAGGGCAATAAATAAAATGCTACATATTTTTTATGTTTAATATTTACTTACTCAAGTGATCTAATACAAAAATAACAAATATTTCAATTATTAACTTTAATTACTTTATTTTATTCTTTAGCTGGCAGCAATTGCCTACCAATTCCAGGTTTAGTAAACCTTTAAAAAACATGTTATCTTTAGTCTTTTTTACTGTTAGTGATGAAACGGGACGTAATTATCACTCGCCGTTAATGTGGAGCACCGCACTTAATAAAATTAATACATTCACTAACAAATAAAATGTATAGACTCAGATATAATCTCTGACATGTCAAAAAATGACAACTGTCAGAATTCTACGGAATTAAATATTAGAGTATATACTAAAATACTTTCAGGGAAGACTTACAAAATATTTCCGTTTCATTTAAATACGCAAATTCAAATTGTGACGTCAGTGTGTCAGATATAGATCCGTCTCTAGTCGTCTCACGCGCACCCTTTGACGATAGTGGTACTCCTTGAGGTAGGCTCGGAGACGACCTGGAAGTGGCAGCTGCTCTACACCTGGAAAGACAATCATTTATTCATTGTAATGATAATATCATAGACAATATTGGGCCGGGAATTGATCTCGAGACTAGTAAACTTAATTACTACCAATTTCAGATTACAATTAGTGCAAATGAAACTAATATTTTTCTCTAATCAAACCAATAATTAAAACAAACTATATAAAATTTAAAAATATTAAAATCGAAAATATATAATATCAAACTTAAAAAAAATTAAAACTACAAAAATATTTAAGAAAAAAAAAAAAACAAAACAATAAAATTTAAAAAAACAATACTAAAATAAACAACAAGAAATTAAAAAATATATATCAAAATTTAAAAAAACTATATTAAACATTAACAAAAAAACATCATTTTTTTACTACTCTACTGAGCAATATTTAATGCAAATCAAAAATAATCACCGTCGTAATTGGTGTGGGACACGATGACGGCTCTGGCCAGCTGCTGCAGCGTGAAGGGGTTACTCCGGGGAAGGGGAGCAGTCAGCATCGGCTCGAAGAACATCACGCACGCGGGGTCCTGTTTTTTTTTTTAATTTAATCATTAATTAATGTGTGTATGTGTGTGAATTTGCATTTTTGGATAATGGACTAGTGATGCTACCAGTATTTCTCTGGAACACTAATATATATACATATATAGACAATTGTTGGGTCACGGTATTTGTAATTCTCCCAAATTGCTTGACCAATTTTACTAAGAATTGGTACGCTCTTTTCTTGTAGGACCCTATGTCGATTTGGTTTGAATATACCTAGCGCCCTTGTACACTCTAAATACCAGTGGGCTCGCGAGTGCGTAGCTGGCCTATTAAGAATTGGTACGCTCTTTTCTTGAAGGACCCTACCATCAGGCGAGCCTCCTACCCGTTTGTCCCGTTCTATAAAAAAAAATTCATTCCCGTATTTCCCGTACCTTGTAGTGTTCGATGAGGCCGGTGACCGTGGGCGCGGCGAAGACGGCCGGGTCGTGGCAGTCGAAGCTGAAGCGGTGGCGGTAGTGCTCGATGCGCGCGTGAAGAGACCGCCCGTACTTTCGAAAAGAGACGGAGAACAGGTGCTCCTCTTGGGCCGAGTCGCGGAGCAGGAACGTGCCTGTTCGATGCAAGTAGAAAATCAATTACATTTATTGTAAGGCAAGGTAAGCATGTCCTCCAATAATTCAATTCGGCTCGAAGGACCAGAAATACGATCCTTGCTAAATAAAAACTTTTCCTAGAATTATATTAAAAAAAAGTGTGTATACACGCGTAAAAATATTCTACGTTTGTAGATAAAACTAAAATGTTGACTAGCTAACTTCAGTGTCGGTTTGTTGTGACGGTGCGCGCGCGCAACGTAAAAATTTACTCTCATAATTTTTCCCTAACGCGCCAAAAGAATAATAACTTCAATTAAATTGCTCACTTTCGTTCCCGAATAATAAAACAATGGCTAATAATCTTCAAAACACATGTAAAAGCATCAATGGGTTCGAACGCTACGTGGGAGTAGAGTAATTAAATTAAAATGTGGAGAATAGAAAAGCCTGTCTGAATAATAATTGAAAAAAAAAAATACTAAACTGATTTTTAATTCCGTATCATTCTGACATTTCATAAGTGTTGCTACTAAAAAAGTTCTCCACCGAAAAATGGACAAATTTGACCCATTTGAGGGCAATAAAATAAATATTTTTATGTTTTACCTTCAAAAAGGTAAGTTTAAATATATACTTATTTTTGGGTCTACGAAATTTTTTCCTTCCGCACATAGAAAGTCCATTCCAGCCAGGAAACGAACTTACGACCTCAGGGATGAGAGTCGCTGAAGCCACCAGACCAACCAACACTGCTATTTTATGAAGTTATTCCTTCTTTTGGCGCGTTAGGTAAAAATGAGGGTAAATTCTTACGATGCGCACGCACACCGTCACAAAAAACCGACACCCAGAAGTTAGCTGTAGTCAACATTTTAGTTTTTCCTACAAACGTAGAGTAAAATTGTTGTAAAGATTGTATCTTGTTACGGCAATGAAGTATAACTTCTAATGCGTGTACATAATAAGTACACACATTTTTTAAGCTATTGGATAGCTTCTATCGCGGGCCTCGAGCGTGGAGACCGAATCCAGAAATTCCGTAACGAAAAAAACCTTACGCGTTAGAGCGGGACAGAACGCATACTGCGTATTCACATCTCTCTGACGAGATCGGTGCAGCCGGTGCGCGTTAGAGTGAGACAGACTATATAGGCGTGTTAGTCTGAGTCTGGTAGAGTGGTAGATTTAATTAATTTATCAAAGAAAAAACTTGAATTAATATCAAAGAAAAAAAAAACTGCATAAATAATTATAATTGCATAAGTTGAAAAAAAAAGCAACAGGTTTAACGCGGCAGTCCCCGAGTGCCACACTTTTTTTTCTTTGTGGTTTTTTTTTATATCCAAAAACAAACCTTCAGGCTTATTGTCCAAGAGCCGCTCAGCCTCGTAGCGGTCCATCTTGCCCCAGTAGAAGGAGCAGGCCGTTATCTCTTGTAAGTCGGGAACTAGGCAATGCTTGTAATCCACCTGAAGAACAATTTTTATTAAAACATTTAATAAAAAGTCATTTAATCTCAATTTAAAATTTATGGAGGTATTTAAAAATATCATCAATATATAGTGTACCAATAATAAAATTAATAGTTTCTTTAGTTTTTTTCAATTTAATACAATTTTAATTTTTGACAAGTTATGAGGGTTCTTCAAAAAAATATCCAAATATAGTGTACCAATTACAAAATTAATAGTTTTTTTTTGCAATTTAATACAATTTCAATATCTGTTAAGTTATGAGGGTACTTCAAAAAATATCACCAAAAATACTTTACCAATAATAACATTAATAGTTTTTTTTTTTTTTTTCAATTTAATACAATATTTGACAAGTTATGAGGGTACTTCAAAAAAATATCATCAACATATAATGTACCAAGAATAAAATTAACAGTTTTCTTTAGTTATTTTCAATGTAATACAATTTCAATGTTTGAAAATTTTTGAGGGTATTTAAAAAAATATCATCAAAAACCTATTAAACCCTAAAAATAGGTAAATATATAAAATAACCGTCGAACGGGTATTACCTGCGTGTGCACCTTAGTGGTGTAGGGCTTGGGGAGCGTCTGAAGACCAGGCGCACGAAGCAGCAGCGCACGCAACTCGCCACCGCAGACAACCTTTAACCAATATCTCTTAATGTAAAATTTCTCTAACAATAAAACAAAAGTGCGTGCGTACAAAGTACACATGTCAGAAGTGAAACTTCTTTGTAAATTAATTATTACTGAGGTTAAAGCCCCAATAGATGATCATATACCAGTATATGATCACTCCATGTATTTGTATATCTATATTCACACTGTATACGTGCTAATGATAATTTTAATAAATTAAAAATCTGCGTTTACTGCACGAGACGTTATGCGACAGAATTGCCATCTAAAGTTTTAATATGTAACTAAACGAATACATCAACCAATAGCGTGTATTTTTTCTCGATCTCTCATACTCTCTCTCTCTCTCTCAATCTTTCCCACTATAGCTCTCTCCCACCTCTCGCTCCATGGATATTTGCTTCACGTTCGCCCTTTCTCACTCTCTCAATCGGTCTAAATAGCTCTCTCCCTTTTCTTTGACAATACCCTCATGAGCCTAAAGAATTTTCACTTTAAAAAACATTAAGGTGAAACAAAGTTCGAGGATGTATGGCGATTAAAAAGAAGAGTTTATTGCCAGTTCTTCTCTTCCGTTCAACGCCCTTGATTTGAGAACTGGCAGTAAATGAAGAATTGGAAACATTTAATATGTATTTCTTTATTGACGCTCACAAGTGTACATTGTGTTACCTATATGAATAAATGATTTTTGACTTTAACTTTAATGTATTTTTGTAAATAATTAAATTTTAATCCACATCTCACAGTCCACTGTGAGTACCACTTATAAACTTACAGTTAACTAACTACTCACTTGGAAGCGTCGTATGGACCCGTCCGCACTTTGGGCCAACTCATTAGGGCGACCTTCTTGTGGGACCTCTTCGTTACTAGAACATTCCCTTATATTAATAACACGTTGCCATGGTAACCGTATATGGGGTCGTTCAAGTATTACGTAAGCACTATAGGGAAGAGGGAGGGGGGGTCGTAATTATTTACTTTTTTAAACATATTACCCACACATTGTCTATGCTTGAAAATGAAATGCATTTTCAAAGATTCCTACAAAAAATTAATACTATTATTTTTGAGAGCTTACTTTTGCTGACAAGAGGGGGGGGGGGGGGATAAATTGCTGTAAATCCGCTTACGTAATACGTGAACGGCCGAACAAACATAACTATGGCTACAAACAAAAGTTATTATTAGACAAGTCATGAAACAGATAAATAAATCTGCGCCTCTGATTGTAGGAGGCTAATTATTTACTTGCCTATTGGACTGACAAATCGTGAAACATACAAAAATGTGTGAACCAGACCTAAAAATGTTGTATCGACATTGGTATTTTTTAAAATTTACGCAATAACTACAATCTATGGCATCAGAACAGTGTCAGCTTTTGTCAAACTGATTCTCATGTGCACTTTAACACTCTCTTGTATAGTATATATTGTAAAATACTTAAAACCCAAAAATAAATGTGTCAGGCACATGTGGCTGACACGTGCCCTTTTCTTTCACACTCACTTGCAGTAGAAAATATCATAAGAAGATTAAAAACCCAAAAATCATTGTATCAGGCACATGTGCGACACATTGAAAGACTTCAAAATTGGTTCAACAGTTTCTGTGTTTGTTACAAAAATACAAATCTTTCCTTATATGGATTTAATACCTTCTCGGAGTGACTGACAACACGTAGACTTCAGCAGTTGGTTCTCCATTCTCATTGCTCGCTTCGCTTTCTGAAATATAATAATACTATTGAGAATATTGAAGGCTCGCAAGCGTGACTTAATCGTGATTAAATCAACGATTTTATTAATTATACATACATACATTTCATTATATAAATTGTTATTATAATTAATTATAATAACAATTTATAGAATTCCTTGTTTAATTTTGAAAAAAAACGACGTAGTCTTTTACACGTCATACATACAAAAATAAATCTAATTAATCATTTTTAACTCCACTAGAACACACAAAAATTTCATCAAAATCTGTCCAGCCGTTTAGGGGTTTATAACTAATACAATCACAGAAATTTATATATATACGTTCAAGTATTACGTCACGAAATTTTTGGAGATTATTGATCCCCCCCATGTAACGCACCGTAACGTTTTTCTGTACCCAATAGTAAAACGTTTCGTGACCACCCAGTGGACGCTTTATACCTAAAAATTACCATTTTGTGATGTATAGTACTGCAAAGTCGAAAATAATATTAACAATCCCAACAATTATTTCTAGGAAACATATTTTTACTATTACATATTAATACTAATAAAAAAATGGGGGTTGATCGTAGAGGGCTGACAATTAAGGGTTGTATATATTTCTGTATGCCTTATCATAAAAAAAAACAAAAAGTTTTGTCTTCATGAAAGAGATGTTGTCCGATTCGCAGACCTAATATGACCACAAAATTTCACGAAAATCGGTCAAGCCATTTCGGTTTTTGTAATTACAAACACTATGACACAAGAATGTTATATATTAGAATGATATTTTTTGAGTTTTTGAAATTATGAATATCAATTTGAACTTCAAATAAATAGTTTTAGAAATCTTATCAAATAATCTAAACTAAATTATACCTGTATTAATAATATTTATATTAATGGCGTCCAACTCGCGTCGAAGGTCCCTCGCGCCCAAAGTCAGTACTGCAGCCAATCTAGAATTTAATATAATCATTATTTTACTTTGAAACATTTGATTCAAACCTCCCTTAGGTCGTAGACTCATATGTGCATAAAGAAAGGCCGGCAACGCACTTGCGAGCCTTCTGGCATTGTGAGTGTCCATGGGCGGCGGTATCACTTAACATCGGGTTAGCCTCCTGCCCGTTTGCCTCCTACATTTAAAAAAAAACCCCAGCCTTAAACCAAAAAATCCATGGTTTCGTCATACACTGATGACCGATCTAGGCCTCAGATATAAAAAAATTGTTTTATACCAGAGAGACATAACATATATTAATATATTTACTAACATAGTAATTAATTACAAATTTACCTTACAATATTGTAATGTTTATTAGTAATCATACCAATCAAATATACAGTATTAACAATTTTCTTAACATAGTAATAATAATAATTAAAAATTAATAAATAGAAAATTAAAACAAATTTAAAAACTTTGATCCCAGTGTACTTTTAATGCAATATTTCCTCGCTGTATTGCGATACCTATTCGTTAAGGAAAGCACCAGCTCTGGGGTCACCGGTACTATCTAACAGGCGCCAACTTAACTCTTTAATTTATTATTTTTTATTACTTAAGATGTCATGTGGAACATGGTGTAATGGTTGCAGCTCCTTACAAACGTTGTGTAAAACAAAAAACTTATTATTAAAAAGAGTGACGGAGAGTTTATTGCCAGTTCTTCTCTTCTGATCTTGATTTGAGAACTAGCAGTAAATGTAAAAATAAGAAGCATTTAATATGTATTTCTTTTTTGACGTTCATAAGTGTACATTGTGTTACCTAAATGAATAAATGATTTTGACTTCGATTTGATTTAATCAGTCCCTGTGCAATTTATTTTAATTTTCTTTTTATTAATTTTTAATTATTATTATTACTATGTAGGTTAAGAAAACTGTATATTTTAACTTTTTAAATGTTAAAATTAAATTATATATCTTACCTATCATCATTACAGGCATCGCTGACCCTCCTATAGGCCGTGCACACACACGGCGCTCGACGCCAGCGACGACGCCGACACGCACACTGTCGACCACTCCATCTGCAAAGACAATTTTTTTATTAGAACACCTTATAATTAACAACGTTGCCCATGGACACTCACAATGGCAGTGCTCGTTTCCTGAAAAATAATTGGTACTCTTTTCTTGACAAAATAATTGGTACTATTTTCTTGAAAAAAGAATTGGTACTCTTTTCTTGAAAAAACCATTGGTACTATTTTCTTGAAATAATAATTGGTACTATTTTCTTGAAAAAAGAATTGGTACTCTTTTCTTGAAAAAACCATTGGTACTATTTTCTTGAAATAATAATTAGTACTATTTTCTTGAAAAAAGAATTGGTACTCTTTTCTTGAAAAAACCATTGGTACTATTTTCTTGAAATAATAATTAGTACTCTTTTATTGAAAAAACCATTGGTACTATTTTCTTGAAATAATAATTGGTACTATTTTCTTGAAAAAATTGTTGGTACTACTTTCTTGACAAAAGAATTAGTAGGTACAATCTATTCTGGAAAAAAAATTGGTACTCTTTTATTGAAAAAAAAAAGACTTTTCTTGAAAAACGAATTGGTACACTCTTTTTCTGAACAAAGAATTGGTACACTCTTTTCTTGAAACACCCAAAGTTAAATTGGTTCGTAAATACTTCAATGAGCAGCTAGGTCCAAGTAACAGGGGTGCTTTAACAGCAGTGTACTGCAGTTTCACATGCTTGTAGCCGTCCCAAATAAAAATGTCTATTAATCTTATACATGCCAGTCATATTGCCCATATTTGTGTTGAAACATGGGTAAGTAAGACACTTGGAATGGCCCAGTGGGAAGAAAAAAGAGAGACCACCAGAATCCTGGGAAGATGGAATAAAAAAAATGGTGGGGGAAATGGAAAATAGCAGGACCAATAGCGGACCAATGGCATATAACACTAATATTATTTTAATACAGCCCATGATACTTACCGATTATCTAAGTTCTATATTTATTTACAGCCCATGCATGGCCACACTCAGACTAAAAACAACATAAAATCACAAGAAAATACAATTAAGTTATTTACAAAATTGATAGTAAATGCTATCCTCTTATCCCCTCCAAGTATACTCTCAAATCACAGTAAGCTATCCCCATACGCTTCCCAAATAGGTCGCTCTCTGGTGAACAGTCAAGAAACCCATGAAGCAAAGAGAGTAACCGAGGAATGGGAGCTTGTTGAAGCTGGACAGTGCGAACCAAACTCACAGCAAAAAGGTTATGTTTCCGGCAGCAGTAATATCTAACAAGGGCTTTAGTTAAAATGGTTCATTAAAATGTCAAATTCAATTAAAATTATGAATCAGTTATACCTCTCAGTTACAGCGCTAACATAACGGTGTACGCTGCTTGGTGACTCCACGTAACGGCGACGCTCCCACGCACCACAACCACAGCTACACTCACCACCTGAAAAAATTACTAGCTATTTAAGAACATTTCGTTTTTTTATTACATACTTTAAACAGAATGATTCAAAAAAATCCATTGTACAGGTAATATTTTATGGAGATCTAAGATCTATAGATATAGTTCTAAATATATCTTAAGATCACTGATAGCAACATAGCAAGTCAAAGGTGAAACACTATCTCACTCCCATGTCAAAGTATAATCTATATATATATATACACTCGCGAGCAAACAAATCGACTCAAGCGCTACCTCTGCATTCAAAGATTGTTTTAAGTGAAAGTATACAACATTTTAATAAAAATGATATGTCATTTGAAAGCTTAAAACTTCAGCTTTTATGAGATGTCATTATTATTAATATCCATGTATCCTTTTTTTATTATTGGTGTCTGAACTTAAATGGGAGAAAAATTGGATTTTGGGTAAAGGAGTTGTGTTCAGAATTGACAAATAAAACACGTTTTTTTTCTTAAAGAGTATAACATTTATTGGTTCACTAATTGGTATTGCCCCCCTAGCCCAAATTACAGCCCGTATTCGGTTCTTCATCAACCTTATTCATTTTTTGACGGTGTCTTGAGGAATACCTTCCCACTCCTCTAACAAAGCTGCTTTCAATTCTTCAAGGCTCGAATGGGCTGGATTTCTTGCTCGTACCCTTTGTTTGAGCTCATCCCATAAATGCTCGACGGGTTTTATGTCTGAACTGAGCGCAAGCCAGTCCATTGTGCGCAAATCGACTTCTCGAAGAAACTGCTGAGTAACGCGCGCTGTGTAGCATCGAGCATTGTCATGCATTAGGATGAAGTCTTCGTCAACAAATCCTGCGTAGGGCACAACATGTTCCAGGAGAATATTTGTGATGTACCCATCAGCTGTCAGTCCTGCTCTTCGGCCTACTCCAGGCACGAAAACGAGCTGGGTTTAACCCTCCAACGAGATATCAGCGCACATCATGCAAGAACCGCCACCATAGGCAACGATTTCTGCTAATCAGCATTAGTAAAATCGCTCTCCCGGACGCCTGTAGACCCGGCCTCTCCTGTCACTGCCATGCAGACACATCCTGCACTCGTCAGTCAACAGGATCGACCGCCATTACCCAATGCTCCAGTTAAGATGCTCTCGAGCAAACTGTACCCGAGCTTGCCGGTGGCCTGCAGTCAATTTGGGGCCCGTTGCAGGCATTTTTGGAGTCAGGTTGGCTTCCTTCAGACTTTTTCTTGCTATCCACTCGCTGACAGCTATACCTCGAACACGTCTCAGCTCGCCCTGCACGTCCACCCCCGTAAGGTGCCGATTTCGCAGGGAGGTTGAGACAATGAAACGGTCGTCTCGTTCAGAAGTACAACGGCTGGTTGTTGGTCTCCGAGTGAATGCTCCAGTCTCTTGTCTATCGTCTGTATACTCGGGATACAGCAGATTGACTCAAGTGAAGCTGGGAAGCGACTACTCGCTGACTGAGTCCTTGTTGCAATAAGGCAAAAACTTGAGCGGCTTCTTGAGGTGTGGTATCCATGGTTTCTTGAAAACAAAGAATGCAGGTTGCGGAGATGTGTATCGGTCAACTGTTTATAAGCAACTCATAAAGGTTGAAGGGTAACGGGGGTTTTATAGGGGTAGAGGGTAGCGCAACTTGCTGGTAGCGTAGTGAGTAATTTGTCCCATACGCACTAATTGCGCAAATTAACATGTTGGTAGTCGTTTTATTTAATCGTGTTGATGTTTTTTTTAAAGCTTAGGTTTCAAGCTTTCAAATGACATATTATTTTTATTAAAATGTTGTATACTTTCACTTAAAACAATCTTTGAATGCAGAGGTAGCGCTTGAGTCGATTTGTTTGCTCGCGAGTGTATATATATTAGGGATGCATCCGATACCGATGCCGATACCGATATATCGGCGATACTTTGGGTTTGCCGATATATCGGTATCGGCGATATTTCATTGCCGATTCACAGATACTTTTCAAAAAAATAATGTAAACGCGCATTTTGTATGATCTAGTTTGTTGCAAACGAGCCACGGACTATTGTTGCCCGAGAAATCCCGCGTTTTATTCAGTTTGTTGTCTCTATCATTCGCTTGGGGACAAAGCATTATTATTTATGTATATTTGTATTTCATTTCGCTAAACACTATTTATTTATTAACACTTTGTTGCATTACAATATAAAAATTGAACATAATTAAATGAAAAGAAGGGCAAAAATACATATTACATATAAACTAAAAAAAGTCTACATGAAAAATAAAAAGTGCACATGAATCACGATAATTTACGATCAGTCTCACGTCAGTTAGTAGTTAGTACGAAAAACTCTTGTTGGATTGATTAGTAGACCAAAATTTTTACTCGAGCCAACTATCTTTGCCAGCGACTAGTATTTTTTCGATACCAAATTTAATAAAATACACATGAATTACTACAATGTTATCATTGTTAATTTTAATTATTAACAGTTATTTATTTTATTTTAATTTAATTATTACTCTTAATTTTAGTAACAAAACCTTTAAAATAATTCAAAGTTTGTGACTATTTTTTGAATAAAAATAATAAACTAACTTAACTTGATATATTTTACCTTAATTTAATTTTAATTCAATCAGCGTTGGTATTGGTATCGGTATCGACGATATTCCTATAAGTGTATCGGCATCGGTATCGTATCGGCAAAAAAGCGTATCGATGCATCCCTCATATATATATATATATATATATAAGAAAAATGCTCTTCGTTTGAGGCTCCTTCACGCCTAAACCACTGATCGTATCGACATGAAACTGCCATTCGATGCAAAATGTTTCCTAGATGGTTTATGGCTATTTATTTTTTAAATTCCAACGTTCCTTCATTTTTTTATTGCTGTTTTACTTTTATGAAAAACATACATACGGACTTCACCGCGGAAACATTCATCGTCATTCATTCGTCAACATCTGTTAAAAACTCGATTTTCGAAAATTTTCAATTTTCATAGCGAGAAGTTAAAAAGAAGAAAAAATTAGCACACCGTATGCAGTTTGATATAACTTAAAAGATAGGATTGCTTACATATTATAATATATATAATTCCACTGTAGGTGTGTATGTTACTGAACTCCTCTTAAACGGACCGATTTGAACGTTTTTTTTTTGTATGCGTTTGGGTGGAGCCCTGGATGGTTTAGATTCACAAATCAGCCCGGCAGAAGGCGCTGCAGTCAGTACTATCATACTTTGTTTAATATCCTAATCGCTTGAAATATCATGCAGGACAACGTCTGTGGGCTCCGCTAGTAATAATAATAAATTGTTTATTTGCAAAGAAAGTAATACATTCAGATATTGTCTAAATACTCTCCCAGGCATATTTTTTGACATACAGAAGTCTTACATCTGAACTCTAAATCTTCAGTTATACTTTAAACTATTGCAAAGCCTAAAGTGGGCCATAGACGGACCTCCAGTCACCAGTCGGTCTTGACCGCAACATGTGGTTTGCTCAGGAACTGCTCGAGCGGTCTGTGAATTTAGTATGGAAACTGCAAATCGCCGGACGGCGACCGCATGTTGCAGTCGGTCTTGACTGCAACATACTGTTCGTCTATGGCCTGCTTAAGAGTTACTTATGTTATTATAGAATAAACTTACTCTTCCTAGACGTTTGTTGTCCCATGTTTGTATTGGTACTATGTGTAGTTCACCCAGCAAACTACCATCTGAAATTAACAGTTCTAAAATTCTCATGTCAAAAATGTGTGTCGGACACAAAATGCCTGACTTTTGTATATAATCATTCTTTTAACAGACCTTGTTTGGTGTTCAAACAATACTAGAATATCATTTCTATATATACAAGCCAAATTTGCAAAAATTCAAAACTAACACTTCTTAAGTCTGATTTTGAACAAGCACTTTGTTGTTTTCAATTAATTGTAAACAACAAACATATTTTGAATTTTATATTAACTTTTGTTTAAATATGAAATTAAATTGATGCCATTGCCAATGTTGGTGTTTTAATTTTTACTGATAATACAGGTTCAATTTTCATTCAACCTTGAAGACAAAGCTAGCTAAAAAGGAATAACTCATCCTTTGTATGTAGAACTTTAAACAATGGTTTGTATCGCATTACAATTATACAATTGTTTTTTTGCATTAATCTAAGCATTTTGACCATAATAATAGCGCTACAAATATAAAGGTGCTACTTATTATACCAGAAATATTAATAGTAACCCACCAAATAAGGTGAGAATTACCTTAATCTTGTCTTAGTTCAACGGAGGAGGACTAATTTAATATCTTGTGTATTACAACATACAGCAACAACACATCATTACTACAATTACAGTCAAACAATATTTGTCCAGTACAAGTGTAATACTAGATGAAAGTGAAAATGAAAGAATGAGGTTCAAATATGTTGTAATTCTAAGAATTGCAACCATAATAAAGTGGCTATGTGACTCCGATCAATACATAATAGCAGAACTATTAAAGTACTCATAAGTGCAAGGTAAAAGTAGCAAGTGAATGATAATACAGTAGAACCTCGATAACTTAAACCTCGGTAACATAAAAACCTCTGTTACTTCAAAAAATACTATGTTCCCTTCCCATCAGAGCCCAAAACCTCTATAACTTAAAATACGCAACCTCTATAACTTAAATAAATAATCTCTGTATAGGCCCTCAGTAACTAAAAGAAATGTTTCCACAAACTCTATAACATAAAATTGTTTGTGAATGAGTCATTTTGAAAGAGTGTCAAAACAAATGGTTTCGGTATTTATTGCTTGCACGTGTTTACTAATGTATTGTTAACGTAAACAATACATTACCTATTGTTTGCTTTATCTAAATTCTTCAAAGCGGCGGTTAGCTTTGTGACAAAGACTTACTTGCATCATAAGTTTTTGATCGTTGTCCTGGAAACATCGCTTTACTTACTGTGTGATAAAACTGTCTTAAAATGAGTACAAAAAGAAAACCAACAACCCTCACCTACGCTGATAAATTAGAAGCTATAGAAGCAGTGAAAAATGGATTGAAAAGGAAAGAAGTTGCGGCTCAGTTTGGAATACATGAAAGTACATTGTCTATCATCATTAAAAAAGAAGCTGAAATCTTGAAGAAACAAGAATCAGGAGAAAGTCTTCAATGTAAAAGACAAAAAATTGCCGAATTCCCTAATTTAGAACAATGTTTGTTTACGTGGTTCAAACAGTGTCGAAACGAAAACATCAGTGTTAGTGGACCCATACTGAAAGAAAAAGCTGAAGAGTTCGCTAATTCTCTGAAAATCAAAAATTTTAAAGCCAGCAATGGCTGGTTACAGAATTTTAAGAAACGGCATGATTTAGCCTTTAACAAAATATGCGGCGAAAGTGCGAGTGTTAGCAAATCAAGCCAAGAATGGAAATCTGAATTACATAATGTAGTGAATGATTATGATCCCAATGATGTTTTTAACGCTGATGAAACGGGTCTATTCTTCAAATGTCTTCCCGACAAAACATTAACATTCAAAAATGAAAAATGTCATGGAGGAAAGCACAGCAAAGAACGACTTACGATTCTGTTTTGTGCAAATTCTACAGGCACAGAAAAACTGAAACCTTTAATTATAGGCAAGTCAAAAAAACCTCGGTGTTTTGCAGGCCTAAAATCACTACCCATGGATTATGAAGCCAATAAAAAAGCATGGATGACAGCCGATCTTTTTAAAAAATGGCTGATTAACATAGATAAGCAAATGGTAACTTCAAATAGAAAAATTATCCTATTTATCGACAACTGCACAGCACATGGGGACATACCACCATTAAAGGCAGTCAAAGTCCAATTTCTTCCACCAAACACAACATCACAACTTCAACCTTTGGATCAGGGAATAATTAAAAAATTTAAAACATTATACAGAAAAGAAGTTGTTAGAAAAATGATAGCTGATATGGAGCAAAATACGATTTCTTCTATCAATGTTCTTCAAGCAATGAGGATGGCGGACAAAGCTTGGCGAAACGTAACACCCCTTGCAGTAAAAAACTGCTTTAGAACCTGTGGTTTTTCTTCAGAACCTCAAGAAATCATTGAAGAGGAAGATAATAATGTGCCTGAAGAATGGAGTAAGCACATGTCTGGGTCAAACATTACTTTTGAAGACTTCGTTACTTGCGATGATGACGTAGCCACAGCAGGGACGTTGACAGAGGGAGAAATATTGGAATCAGTAAACAATTGCATTGAAAGTGATAAAGACGATGATTTTAATGACGAGCCACAAACTTCATCTACAAGTGTATCAACCAACGAAGCAAAAAAAGCTTTAACAACTGTACGATCATTTATAGAGCAGTGTAGCAACATAAAAGATAATGTATTCTCCTCTCTATTTGTCATTGAAAATCAAATCGATTTAGAAACAGTGAATTTTTTAAAACGAAAGAAAATCACAGATTTTTTTAAGTAGACTAAACCTTTAGTTGTTGTTTTATTTTTAATGTAATGTAAGTAATGTGAATAAATATGATTACATATTTAATTTTCAGTATTTTATTGAACCCATCCTTCTGATGCATTCGAGTAAAAATGGGAGCAAGGGTACATAGAAACATATACATACATCTATATTAACCTTTACCTAACATAGAACCTTGATAACTTAAAACCTCTATAACTTAAAATATTTTGTGTTTCCCTTGGACTTTAACTTATCGAGGTTCTACTGTAGTATTAAGGTATCGCCTGACATTTGTCAGCTTGGCTCTTCATGGTGAACATTACTCATTTCAAAATATTAATAAAATTAATATTTTCATATTTCTTTTGCTACAAAAATTAGAGCTTATTAGACATGCATACTAATCAAATTAATATATAAGAAAATTGTATTAGCCCCTCTCCTGTAGACCCTAATGTATAGTTTATAATATTAACACATACTTATGACAACCTATTTAGAGTTAAATCATTCAACCTAGAAAATAATATATACCGAAAAGAAAATGTTTTGAGAATAACGAAATTAATACACGGGGAGGAGTGGTTAACGGTGTCACCGTAGAAAGAATCTAAATAATTGCAATATGCTGCAGAAGTTTAGTTTGTTTCTGAGTGATGTTTTAAGATTTTAAAAAATTTCACGCAGCCCCTAATAACATACTTAAATTTGTATTCCTGAGTTATCTTATTAAACATCACGATTTATATATACTAAAATAAACAAATAATATTTCTCTACATCCGCCATCTTGAATGGGTTATTTCATAGCATGATCTAATTTTGTCTAACTCTATTATCACATTAATACTTGTAAAAACTATTAGACATGTGGAGAATAATTTAAATGATACTTACGTCTGCCAAAATAATATATTTATTGCTTTGTCGTTATCGAAAATATCATATGAAAATATCTTCGTAGGTCGGCTGTACTAAGCATTTGTCGTTGCAGTAATTAACACAAATATCACTGTATTTATTAGCGCACATAAAAAAAGTAGTTAGTAATCTTAGAAATACTAAAACAATATTTACAGAGAAAAATAAAAGTAATTAGAAAAACACATTAACAAAATACGCGTAAAACGCAATACCTTTCGTGGTGTGACGTTTTGTTAAATTTTTTAGTATTATTTTGACGTCTATTTTTTCTTTGGCGTTTGGTTTTACAGATACAAAACCAAAAAGTTAAAGAGTATCAAAAAGCTAGTTTTGTCTTATTGCTCTAAGAACCTGATAACTAGAAAAAAAACCTTACTAAAATGAAGTAATAAGTTAATTTTAACTTCAAATGAAATCCTATTGCTAAAAAATAATGTTTGTCATGTTTTATTTTACGTGAGTTGGTAGTTGTTTTATCTGGTAGTTGTAGTCGACCTTTAAGGTTAAACAAATAAATATTTAAGTTAAAAAAATTTTACAAGAGTAATTAATCGCTTTTACTGAATGCTTAGTGTTTTTTACTAATGAAATGACATAAAAACGGGGTAGTTCTTTTTAATAGATTCTATAGTTTTATTGATATTATACATTATAACCACCACGTTTCGTCATTAGAATATACCCTATAATATGTCTATGGAATACCAATTTTTCATAGACAAGGTAATAATAGACAAAGCTGTAGAAAATTTTAAAAATATTGTTTATGTCCGATTGACGCCATTTTGTAGGTAGTCGTTTGTTATATTAAAAATTTTAGGAATTTCTTCGTTTTCAAATTGAATTGAGTTTATTTATTGAAAAAGTTGTATGCTTTAATTTGAAAATGTCTAAACGGAGGATTGAAGTAATGGATCCTTTTATTAAAAAGAAACGGTGAGTCGCTGTTGAATTTTATAGAATCTGGTGTAATCAGGCATGGTTGCTGAAATTTTATTGTTTTCGAACCGTACAGCGTGGTTCAGTAATAATTTCTATAACATCTCTCGTAAATCCGTATTTCATTCATTTTAAAGAGTATCAACACTATGGAATACATAAAACAAAGTGTTTAAACTGCACTATTTATTTATTATATTGTGTATGCCGTAATTTAGTGCGGTTAAATTAAAATATGGTTGTACAAATCTTTTAATTGCGACTAATCAAACGCGCTTAATAAACATAGACACTTCTAACATTATTTTAAGTTCTGATAATGGTTTGTTTCTAGCGAGGAAAAAGCAGCGGCTGCTGCTAAATCCGGCGGCAGTGGTGAAGGGTCATCAGACTCCGTGGCCAACCTAGGAACATCTCTATCTAGCACTTCAAGCGCGCCTGGGATTAATCCATATAGTGGTATTGTTTTTTTTTCTATTTAAGTTGTATTTAGACACAAAACATACAACACTAGTTTGGATTTCATATTAAAGATTTAATAATTTAATAGTCGGAATAATTTACAACCTATCAAAGTAAGAAATATCTTTATTTACAGGTCTACCACACTCCCCACGCTACCATGAACTATTGCAAAAACGGCTGGGTCTCCCTGTATGGGAGTATAAAAATGATTTCATGCGTCTTCTCAATACACATCAATGTGTTGTGCTTGTTGGAGAAACAGGATCTGGTAAAACTACACAAATTCCTCAGTGGTGTGTTGAATTTGCTTGCGTCACTGCAAGTAAATCCAAAGGCGTTGCCTGTACTCAGCCAAGAAGAGTAGCAGCCATGTCGGTGGCTCAAAGAGTGGCTGAAGAAATGGATGTAGCATTAGGACAGCAAGTGGGTTACAGTATCCGTTTTGAAGACTGTTCAGGACCACAGACAGTATTAAAATACATGACAGACGGTATGTTGCTTCGTGAGGCAATGTCGGACCCAATGTTGGATCAATATAGAGTAATTTTACTTGACGAAGCTCACGAAAGAACATTAGCAACAGACATTCTAATGGGTGTCTTGAAAGAGGTTATAAAACAGAGACCAGACTTGAAACTAGTTATTATGTCTGCTACGCTAGATGCTGGCAAATTCCAACAGTACTTTGATAATGCACCACTAATGAATGTTCCGGGACGAACACATCCTGTAGAAATATTCTATACACCTCAGCCCGAACGCGACTACTTACAGGCGGCCATACGTACTGTGATACAAATACATTTATGTGAAGAAGTTGCAGGTGATATTCTCCTGTTTTTGACTGGTCAAGAAGAGATTGAGGACGCCTGTAAGAGGATCAAACGGGAGGTTGACAACTTGGGTCCTGATGCAGGTGAACTAAAGTGCATTCCATTATATTCCACTCTGCCCCCAAATCTCCAACAGAGAATTTTCGAGCCTGCACCCCCAAACCGCCCCAATGGTGCGATTGGAAGGAAAGTTGTGGTATCTACAAATATAGCTGAAACCTCTTTAACGATAGATGGTGTAGTGTTTGTGATAGACCCTGGATTTGCTAAGCAGAAAGTGTATAACCCAAGGGTTCGTGTAGAGTCTTTACTGGTGTCTCCAATCAGTAAGGCTTCTGCCCAGCAGCGGGCTGGACGTGCCGGAAGAACTCGCCCCGGAAAGTGCTTCAGGTTGTACACAGAGACAGCGTACAAGAATGAAATGCAGGACAACACATACCCAGAGATTTTGAGGTGACTTAAAATTGAAATTTATGGTTGCTATATAAAGAGTATATTTTAGATGATTTCATTTAAAATAGAAATTAATTCAATCATTGATTATGAATTATCATTTACGTAATTATTAAATTCATTAAAAATAAAAAATAAAAAAAAATTTATTACTTCTTAATATATATAAATTACGCTTTACGTTATATGTCCGCTATTGAATCCTAAACTACTGAACCGATTTCAATGAAATTGGCACACCGTATACAGTTTGATCTAACTTAAAAGATAGGATAGCTTACATCTTTATTTAAACCTTCAATATTGTGGCAAATTTTTTGTTTATTATTTGACAGTTACAATTGTAACGGATGGCACTGTGGTGAAAATACCAACGTTTCACATAAGCTACAATTTAAAGGCATAACCACCAATGAAGCATGGTGGTGCCCATGACTGGTGTTCTCCTACTGTTTCCCTTGAATAGTTTATTACTATGTAATGTAACAAAACCCTTAGCCACAGCAACGCTTGGCCGAGTCTACTAGTTTTATGTATATAAAGTCTATTGTATTAAATTGAAAGCAGTGTTGGCCTAGGGGCTCGTCTCTCGTGAAGAAACTTATGTCCTCACTCCTAATATACTGCTTCTCTGTTAGGCTACGAAGGCAGAATCAGAATGGCCGTGTCATAATTCTATTGCTGGTTCTATGCTTGAAAGGAGCATATTGCGAGTACTAATGCCCACTGCCCTCCATTTGCAGATCAAACTTAGGGTCTGTAGTTTTGCAGTTGAAAAAGTTGGGGATTGATGACCTCGTGCACTTTGACTTCATGGACCCACCAGCCCCCGAGACACTTATGAGGGCCTTGGAGCTACTTAACTATCTCGCTGCTTTGGGTAAGTTATTAATTCTGACGTTACAAAGAGTTGTTGTTAAATGGAAAGAAGAAAAATCTATATTAGAAAACGTTTATTTCAGACTAGTGTTAAGAATTACATTTTAAAAAAGTGCTTGCGTACTTTTGAAGTGAAACTTCTTTAGACGCATGAGGGTAAATTTTTACGGATGATATAATAATATTAGCGTCACGAAGATGTGCAGCGTTTTTGTTGAAGAAAAGGGAGCGCGATTGAGACCGATAGAGAGTGAGAATGGGCGAACGTAGCATGATAGTGAGAGAGATTGAGAGAGAGTATTCGTTTAGTAGCTACATATTAGAACTTTTGATTGCAATTCTGTCGCATAACGTCTTGTGCAGTAAACGCTTTGTTATCATTAGCATGTATACAGTGTGCAAACAGTGTGAATATAGATATACAAATACATGGAGTGATCATATACTGGTACATGATCATCTATTGGGGCTTTTACCTTAGTGATAATTAATTTACAAAGAAGTTTCACTTCTGACATGTGTACTTTGTACGCACTTTTTTTTGATAACCGTCTAATTTTGGATAGACAAGTATTTAATGTTAATTATTTCTTTATATGATTTGTAGATGATGATGGAAACCTAACAGATTTGGGTGCGGTGATGGCAGAGTTTCCATTAGACCCGCAGTTGGCGAAGATGTTGATTGCCAGCTGCAACCACAATTGCTCCAATGAGATCTTGTCCATCACAGCCATGTTATCAGGTAAAACATTTATTATTTATTAAGCTATTGCATAGATTATATCGCGGGCTTTGAGCGCGGCGACCGAATCAATAAATTCCGTAACGAAAAAAACCTAACACACGATGACGTAATATAGGTACGGTCAACGCGTTAGAGCGGGACAGAACGCATACTGCGTCTCACATCAGTCTGGCGTGATCGGTGATGCGTTAGAGTGAGACAGACTATATAGGCGTGTTAGTCTGAGTCTGGTAGATTGAATTAATATCAAAGAAAAAAATACTGCATAAATAAAAAAAAAAGGGTGCGCGTAAGAAGTTATACTTCTTTGGCATTATTAAAAATAGTTTTTGATTAAGATATAGATAAAGACTGGAAAAGGAGTCATTATAGTCAATAAAGTTCGGTTTACATTTGAAAAATTAAATAAATAAATATTTATTATTATTCTCTTACATTAAGTGTAACATAAATTCTATTATTATTCGAATGTTGTTTTTAAATTATGTCCAATGCCGTAACATCTTCATTCTGTTAATTTTGTGTCACGGTGCGCGCGCATCGTAAAATTTCACTCTCATCAATTTTTCATAACGCGCCTAAAGAAGTATAACTTCAATAAATAAATAATGATAACTGTATAAGTTGATAAAAAATGCTATGCAATAGCTTTACCGCGGCAGTACCCGAGTGCCACACGTTTTTTTATTAAAATAAATTTCTACAAGTTTGAGGAATTACCTGCTCAATATATTCTTGAAGCTTGGACATACAAGCCAAAAAAATATAAGCGATTTTAAAACAAAAGTGATTTTCACCAGTATAATACTCGAAACAGAACTAATCTAAGCGTACTAACCCGGCTCCAGAAGATAAACCCCTTATATGGAAATTGTATTCGTTTTTACAACAATCAATAAAGCGAGAGAATTATCACTAAATAAATTCAAAGCCCTCGTTAAACGAAAATTAATAAATAAAGCTTTTTATAAATTTGACGATTATTTAAATGATTTGGTCCAGTTCAAACAATTTGTATTACTCAAGACTTGGCAATTAAAAAATTTTGTGTCAACAAAGTTTAGTTCACTGTATTTTATTTTGGATAGTTTTTTTTTTAATGACAATTCACACCAATTGACCTAGTCCCATGCTAAGCTGGTGAAGCTTGTGTTATGCGTACTAGGCAACGGATATACATACATATTATAGATAGACAGACATATAAATACATATTTAAACACCCAAGACCTAAGCACAACACCAAATGCTCATCACATCGATGTTTGTCTCAGCCGGGGATCGAACCCGGGACCCATGGATTCGCAGTCATGGGTACTAACCACTAGACCAATGAGTCGTCAAATTGTATTGTATTTTTTTTAAATACATATGTTACTGTAAAAGTTCGAACTACGGTTAATCTTAAGATTTAAGTGTAAGTCTTAAGATTTACCGACGTGAGTTGGTAAATGTAAGTACGTAGTCGGTCCCAAAGTTCTGTCATAAATGGAAATAATGATAAAAACAAAACTACTTATCAGTTTTTAATGAGTGATATACCAATTTATAGTACATTAATTAAGGAATAGAAATAGCATAAAATTATTCGAAATGACCTCCCTTATTTTTAATATTGGCCCTTAAGCGCCTCGGGCAGTCGTCTATCGCAGCACGCACCATATTCGTGTCGATTTCAGTGACTGCTTTATTTAAAGATGACTTCAGACTCTCCAAATTTTTATGTGGTATGCACAGACCTTCCTCTCTAAGACCTGCGAAATTTTATAGTCCAAAGGATTAAGGTCCGGACTGGAGGAAGGCCAATCCTCATGTCTAATTAAGTCGATGTTTTGACGCTCAAACCAGGCTTAAGTGGTCTTGCCTGTGTGGGTAGGCGCAGAGTCCTGCTGGAACACGAAGTGATGTCCCGCAATAGCGTGCTGGGTTCTTTGACAAGCCGATGCAAAACCGTATCTTGGTACACTTTTGCACTGGTTTTGACCCCCTTTATGCAAAAATGAACTTCAGTTGGCTCGTAATAGGACACTCCCAACCAGACCATTACTGATGATGGATGATGTCCATGTTGCACCCTTGGAACTTTATTTCCAGCTTCTTCAGAACTTCTGGCGTACACTCTATCATTCTGTTTATTGTACTTCTCTTCAATATCGAAATATTTTTCATCCGTAAAGAAGATATCACGGTGTCGGTTTTTCGCGTACCGCTTTAACAACACCCGCGATCTCTTAAGCCTTATTGCTTTTAGACGAGCATTAAGTAAGTGCCCACTCTTTTTTTGTATGCTCGTAGACCAAGATCTTCATTTAAAACCTTTTTTTACTATTTTCCTATTGACACCCATCTGCAAAGCCATCAACTTCTGTTTTCGGACAGGATTTCTTGCTGTCCGCGCCATGATAGCTTTGATTACTGCTGGTGTTCTTGCGGAGCGCGGCCAGCCAGTTATTTTATTGTCCTCAACACTGGAGACTTCATTGTACCTGTCAATAGTACGGTACACAAACCTAAGCGTTATATTCAAATTTTTGAGCCCCTTGAAAATGGTACTCGGCGAGTGCCCACAGCGGTGCAACGCATTAACACCTATTCGGTTTTCTTTCAATGTCCACTCCATCGTGAAAAATTACGGAAAGTGATTGTTTTTTGTTTTAAAATAATAGTCAAACATTCAAAAATATAATATTATATTTATTTTATAAAATCATGTTCGAAATTTAAAAATAATGTGACAGTGACAGAACTTTGGGACCAACTACGTATTTCTGAAATTACGATGATTTTTTCGAGCTTTTACCATCCGAATTCAGTATATGCTAGGTTTTACCACCGTCAGCTGGTAGATGTTGGTTTTAGGAATGAAACAATGTGTAATTCTTAATTATTTAGTTTAATGAACTATTAGACAAAACAGGTACATAGTATTATAAAGGTATCAAATGATAGTAATAAGTACAAACTCTCTGAATATCTCAATCTCTATCATATCTATCTAACTGAATCAGTAGTTCTCTATTTGTAATTTAACAACGAAATACAAACATAATACTTACATAAGCCAGTCTAACTTAATAATTATTTTTGTTTTTCAACATTTACCGTGCCATTAATGTAAATCCTGAGATTTACCAACGGAATGGTGGTAAGAGTTCGAATCGCAAACCTTTTGGAACATTTACCATTAGGAATTGGTAGATCTTAGGATTTACTGCAGTTCGAGCTTTTACAGTAACATATATAACTTATATTTACAATTTTCTTAACCTACATAGTAATAATAATGAATAATAAGAAAATTAAAACAACTTTTGAAACTTTGGTCCCAGTGTACCTTTAATAGTATTTTCTCGCTGTATTGCGATACTTATTCGTTAAGGAAAGCTCCAGTTTTGAGCTCACCGGTACTATCTACCAGGCGCCAACTTAACTCTTTAATTAATATGGATTGATTTCAGTGCCTCAATGCTTTGTTCGGCCAAATGAGGCGAGGAAAGCCGCGGACGAAGCAAAGATGCGTTTCGCTCACATCGATGGAGACCACCTCACGTTGCTCAACGTTTATCACGCGTTTAAACAGAGTGAGTTTTTTTTTTCGAATAATATAATGAAGAAGGAATAATACAGTAGGACTGTGGTTTGTTTAAATATAACCATAGCAGTATTTTTGAAGATAATCTTCTTTAGGCGCCTGAGGGTACAATTTTTACGGAAGGTCACGAAGATGTGCATCGTTTTTGTCGATTTTTTTTTCTTTAATAACGATGTGCTAGTATAATATTGTGGTGCAATTATTCATACTTGAACACCGATGGTGTTTTTAATTCATATCAATATCATTATTATTTTATTAAGTAACTATAGTCTGGCTAATGAAACAAGATAACGAAAAAGCTCAGCAAATTCAAAATTTTTGCATGGAAAACTAAAACTATATTTATTATAAAACACAACTTTATTCGGAAAAATCAGAATCCAAAAAATCAATATGTCTATTATTATAATCAATAAATTTTGATAAATTCTATAATTCGTAAATATTAAATAGGTAATAAAGTAAGTTTACGCTGTGATGAAAAGGCCGTCCTTATTAACAAAGAATACTAATTTCAGACATGGAGGACCCTCACTGGTGCTACGACAACTTCATCAACTACAGATCACTCAAGTCTGGAGACAATGTCAGGCAACAGTTAAGCAGAATTATGGATAGGTAAGAACATGATCTCCAAGGGTAACTTAGTAGAAACTTTTCAAGTCAACCAAAATGATTATGGATTTTTGGAGTTAACTTTGTGGATTATATTTGTCTCTTTAATATATAAAAAGGATCTAAAAACGTATTTATTATGTAAAATGTATATTCGAAATCACTATATCTACTATAAAATCAATAATAGTATTTTCTAAATGATTTATAGCAATATTGTAAGCTAAATATGTATTTTTTCATTTTATTTACAGATTTGTTTCTAGCTTTTTTTTTAGTATCTAAAACCATATTTAATTACGTAAAATATATATTTGAATTCACTATATCTCCTTTAAGGCTATGTTCACATGTAACGCGCGTCAACGCGCGATCAAATTTGAAGAGAGTTCAGATGATGAGCGCTAATGCGCGTTGCGAGAGTACTCGTCGGTCTAGTTCGGTAGAACGTAGAAATTGGACGTGGAAGAGGCTATTATTTTGTGGTTATATTATAAAGAAAAATATAGAAAAAGAAAACGTACACATTGGGTTCATCCAATTTTGAAAAAAAAAATACAAATTATATTATATTTTTTATACAAATTTGCTATATTCCAACTTGCTGGCCTTTTTTCTACTTCATCGATTAGTAAGTCGATGTCAATATCTTCAATTTCACTCATTTTAAATGCGAGAACAAAATATAATTACGAAAATTAACAAAATTACATGCGATCGCGATGAAAGCGCGCGCTCATCTGAACAGCAAACGGACATTACATTAATATCAAAGCGCGCGTCAACGCGCGATCACCTGCGTCTAGAGACTTTTTCTCTGAGCGCCGCGTTGACGCGCGCTCATGTGAACAGTTGTATGAAAATACCACAATGTCTAGTCGCGCGATTTGAAAACGCGCGTCAAGTTTTTGCCATCTGAACATAGCCTAAAATCAATATATTATTTTCCAAATGATAGTAGTTATATGATAGTAGTTATATTGTAAACTACCCTCTAATATATATTTTTTTAATTAATAGATTTGATTCTAAATTTAAAAAACGTAGATATTCGAATTACAATTCATTAACTATCTACAGTAAAATCAATAATGAGGGAAGTAATATTGTTGACTACCCTCAATTAATGTTTTTTTTTTAATTTACAGATTTAATCTGAAAAGAACAAGTACGGAGTTTGCGAGTAAAGATTACTACATTAATATAAGGAAAGCACTCGTCAATGGATTCTTTATGCAGGTTAGCTATTTTTTTAAAAAGTGCATGCTTACAAAGTACAAATGTCAGAAGTGAAACTTCTTTGGCAAACTAATTTTTAACTCTTTTCATATTTATACAAATCTAAAACTTTACATTTCCGAGACTTATAGGGAGGGAAAAGGGAAGATAGGAATTTAATTAATTTAATTGTCATTAAAATATTAAGTGTCGAAAATTAATATAATTAATCATAAATTTATTTGTTCGATAATAAAAACACGTGGCATTTTAATTTACAATTCGTCATTTGAGATTTCAATAATTTATTTTGCATAAAATATAAAATACTGATATTTATTTCAACAGTTTCCGCCTCATATGTAAAAATAAGCGTTTGAGGTTTGTTCCTATACTCTGATTTTTAATTCTGTAGAATTCTAACAGCTATCATTTTTTGACACATCATTATTACATTCGAGTCTGAACATCTGAGTCTATACATACATTTTATTTGTTAGTTGATTAAGTGCGGTGCTCCACATTAAAAGTGGTTTTACTGCGAGTGATAATTACGTCCCGTTTCATCACAAACAGTAAAACGCACTAGTAAAGACAACATTTTATTTTTTTAAAGGTTTACTTAACCTGGAATTGGTAGGCAGTGCTGCCAGCTAAATAATAAAATAAAGTAATTAAAATGAATAATTGAAATATTTGTTATTTTTGTATTAGGTCACTTGAGTAAGCAAATATTTCGATTTACCTTTTTGTAGGTAAAACATAAAAAATAGGTAGCATTTTATTTTTTATTGCCCTCAAATAAGTCAAATTTGTCCCTTTTTCGGTGGAGAACTTTTTTAGTAGCAACACTTGTGAAATTTCAGAATTCTATGGAATTAAAAATCAGAGTATAAATGCTCTGATCACTTTCCTGGCTTTTCTTTGAATCTTTTTAAGCATCTTTTAAGAAATAAAGACAGCAATGGTCTTTGATTCAAAATAATATTAAAACGATGTTTTCAGGTAGCACATCTGGAGCGGAGCGGCCATTACCTAACAGTGAAGGACAACCAGATTGTGCAGCTGCATCCGTCGACCTGCCTGGACCACAAACCCGATTGGGTTATTTATAATGAATTCGTGTTGACCACCAAGAATTACATACGGACCGTTACTGATATTAAACGTGAGTATTTTAAACGTTATTTGTCTTTGGGCTGGTGGTGGAAAATAAATAGGAACAAGACGGGACACGATTGGCCAATTTATCTCTCTCTCTCCCCCCCTCAAAGCTGTCAAAAATAATACATTTCGTTTTTAAGCATAGACAATGTGTGGGTAACATGTGTAAAAAAGTAAATAATTACTGATGACGTAATCACCAAATAAGAAAACAAACTGCATTGCAAAGTGGCGGAGAGTTTATTGCCAGTTCTTCTCTTCCGTTCTACGCCCTTGATTTGAGAACTGGCAGTAAAATTAGAAGCATTTAATGTATATTTATTTTTTGACGTTCATAAGTGTACATTGTGTTACATAAATGATTTTGATTTTTAACTACATAGTGAATATTGAAAGCAATTTTTAATGTATATAATAGTATCAATCGCTTATACTGGGAATAAATAAGGCGCAACTGCGTTTCTATGTGAATACAAAAGATTTATTTACAAAAGAAATATCTATTAATTTACATTCAATAAAAAAATATATATTTACAAATTATTCACTCACCTGTGAATACAAAAGAAACAACATTTAAAGCCTATATTCTAGGTTTTATAAAGTAAAATAATATAATGAAAAAAATTAAAATATCTTACATATATTATGTCAAGTGACATAAATTAAACATCGTCGATCAGACGGCAAAGACAACATTACAAAAGAGTTTATATAAACTCTTTTGAATTAACTCTTTTCTTATTATTATTTAAGAAATGTATTAAAGAAAAGCTGTGTAAAAAGGCTTACTATAAAGTCAACGATTATCTAGTTGATAAAAGGGCCTGGGACTAGTGCTAGACAGGCTACTTCTAATTAATTTGCGATATTTGTTTTACAATAAGTGTTGGTTGATGATTTGCAATTTTAAAAGAGTACCGAGAGTTTTTTACGCCGGCTTTTTCTCTCGGCCTACACCCTCTGTCTTCTTTGCCGATGAGTAGGGATGCCTACAAATTGAAATTGAATGACGTGGAATAAGTGATACCTGTATCTTATGTTCCATAAATAACATATTTTATTTTACAATATAGACAAGAGTTTGTATAGAAAAATATATTATGTTTTCCTTACATGTATATAATTAAAACTTTTATCTAATTAATTATATGTTTTCAGCTGAATGGCTCTTACGCATCGCCCCACAGTACTACGAACTAAATAACTTCCCAGTGTGCGAAGCGAGACGGCAGCTGGAACTACTGCAGGAGCGTCTAGACTCCAAATCCTACCAGGAAGGCTTCTAAATTCACGGGGCCCCAATTGGGGCCTTCCAGTAGTGGGTTCCATTAAAAACTAAGTGAATGCGTGATTTTATGTGCTAAGTTAGTAAATGTACTGGCACCTTCTGAATACACCAATCATCTATCTATAGTTGAGGATCAACATAATTTTTATAAAGATAAAAAAAATCTTTTAAGAATTCTAAAACCCAAACTGAATTTAAAAGGCCGGCAACGCACTATAGAACAGTGATACCGCCCATAGACAATCACATTGCCAGAGGGCTCGCGAGTGCGTTGCCGGCCTTTTAAGTGTTGCGCTTCTTAGGACCCTACACAGTAGCGAGCCCTTTGGCAATGTGTATGAGCGGTATTACTGAACATTAGGTGAGCTTCGAAGTACTTCCAAACCGGGGCCCCAGAACTTAGTCTTAGGGAGCGTTCAAGTATTACGTCACGCAATTTTTGGAAATTATTGACCCCCCATGTAACGCGCCGTAACGTTTTTCTGTACCCAATAGTAAAACGTTTCGTTACCACCGAGTGACTCTTTACACCTTAAAGTTACCATTATGTGGTGTAAAGTACTGGAAAGTCGAAAATAATATTAACAATGACGCGTAATTCAATCCCCACCCCGCATCGTAACGTTTTACAAAAGGCCCCCCCCAAATTCGTTGCGTAATACTTGAACGCTCCCTTACCAGCCCATTGGAAAATATGATTTTTGTGTTAACATATTTTTTATGTATAGAAGTTTTGGTAATATTGAATTTGAATCTTAAAATTTTAGACTAATCACCCTTGTAATTAATTTAATAGTGAATTAGATTCTGTTCACAATATCTATTGTCGGGGCCCCATTTATAGCTATTGCTAAATATTGGGCGATGTTACAAAAGTATGCTAATTATACTTTAATACAAGGTTTTGTTTTATTTGTTTTTTTAATGAAATCCCATTATCCTCATCCACATCTAACACCGAAGGCAGATCACCCAGGAACGAGTAGACCACATAATGGCAAGCATCAGCATGGCTAGAGTCTGGCAAATGAAAGAAGATAACGAAAAAGCGGCAAAAAAAAAAAAGGGTGCGTGTACTTATGTACGCGCGTAAGAAGTTATACTTCTTTGGCTTTCTTTATTTTTTGAAGTGAAACTTCTTTATCGAGGTTGGAAAAAATTTAGTGTAACATTTTTTCGTTACGCGTCACATTTTTCGGTTACGCGCCATGTTGCTTTTTGAAGTCAAACTTCTTTATCGACGTATGGGAGAAATTTTGTAGCAAATCGTCACGTTTTTCAATGATAGTAATAATTATATTACAATTAATGAAATTCAATAATACTCTTCGTAGTAATAAGGTAAAATGAAATATTTGTATTCATGTCTATGATAATAAAAGCCTTTTGTTAAACTTTATCTAATTTAACGAATTTCTGTTAAGTTGCATATAGTAGATAATTTTTCGAAAAATAAGATCATATAGAAGTTTCACTTACGTGTGTACACCTAGTACACGCACATTTTTTTTTAAATATATTTAATTAATATTTAACGTAAACAATTTAATAATATTTAGTATAATTATTATTAATTAATATTAATAACAATTATTATATTATTCATTCAATTTAACTTGGTATGTTTCGTAACCTTTTAACTAAGTAACAATAGGTCTTTGTGAAAAAGCATTGCTAAATTTCTTTGAAAAATTAATTAAAACTCCTTTATTTGTTTAAAAGGTAAATAAATGTCATTATGGTCCTTCAAAATTATTGGCATATCTGCTAACTTCACGCATATTCTATTTCTTTTTACTTGTAGATTGTCTTATTCCCATCTCGCTCGCGCACGCTATAATCACACTGACAACTTTGTGTCTCAGGTGCGCGAGTAAAGGAACGGCAACGGACTTTTGGTTTAAAAATAATTTATTTAAATCAACAGAGTGACAGCACTTAATTAAGAACTAAACAATAATCAACTTAATATCTATTTCTTCGTGCCTTTATACATTCAGATTTACTTACTAAGTATTGGTCGTTGCTGACGCACGACCTACATTCGGCTTAGTGCTAGCAAAGCATATATTAATAGGGTTGGTACTCTTAACTCCTCCCTCCTAAGAGAGAAATTATCCGAAGGGGCTAAAGGTGACTTCGGAGAATTTCTTTTATTGCAAATAGAATACAATTTAAACTTTAATATTATAACAATTACTATTATTACTACTATAAAATAAAGAACTAATGTCCATACACTTATGTTATGTGTCACCACACTTTCCACCACTATTTCACTATTGCTATTTCTCACATTATTTAACATTTCTTTTACGTCACTGAAGTCCACGTTTGTCAAATCTAACTTTTTATCTGCCGTTGCTAAATCTTCCTGAAGTTCGGGAATCACCACCAGTGGCATCTGTATATTCACATCCGATACATTGCTTGATTGACCGAAGATTGTTCTACCAATTTGCATGTTGCACCCTTGACTTGGCGTCACGATGTAAGTCCCCAGTAAACTGAATCGACGGACGTCGTTTCTGCAGTGTTCTGACAAAATTATTTTATCTGCTGTGAATATCAACCAGCTATTATTCATTATCTTCTGGATTTTTAGCTTCTCAATTCGTATTTGATGTTGATGACATAGGCTGTAATTATTCTTTATTAACATTAATTCCTCGATACATGTTTCCTCATTGTCTGTTGCCATATTTTCTTCTGAACATAAGTATTTGTTGTCTTCTATACTCTCGCAAGGGCTCAACACATTTCTGTATTTCAAACCATTCACCAAAAGGTAAGGATATTTAGGAATAATTGTGTAAGTTTTAGAGGATTTTGTTATAGGAATGGGAGTAACCTTGTAATAGTTATACGTTTCTGATTCTATCAAAGGAATTTCTAATACAAATACTAATTTATTCTTATCAATATAAGACTTTAATATAATATTACGTTCTAATTTAAGTAAGTTGTTTTTTGTTACTGGATAAATTGTTTGTGCATGTTTTTCTATCACTTTAAAAACACCTAATAACCAGTGGCGTAGCGTGCCTTGTCGGGGCCCCGTATAAAAATTTTTTTGGAGGCCCTTATATGGAGGTAAAGATTTTTCACAAAAGAAAAAAAATATTGTGAGAAGTAATATTTATTTATCACATAATTTACCCATTTTACAAATAAAAATCGAATTTTAAATATTCACTCTCCTTGCCTTTTTATCGGCAAACTGATTTATTAAATCATTTATGGCTGATGATGATTTTAGTTTTTCTAAAGTTTCTGCCTCTATGGACAATAGTGAGATGTCTGACAGCCGTTCTTGTCCCATCGAAGTTCTTAAGTAATTTTTTATTAGTTTTAATTTTGAAAAACTTCTTTCTGCCGTTGCGGTTGTAACTGGAAGGGTCAAGAATAAAAAGCATGCTGTGATTACCTTTACTGTATTTAGCAGACAGTTTTCCGGAAGCGTTTAATATCTCTTCGCTTGAAGAAGATAGGAGTTTCTCCGGTTGTAATATTTCGAATATACTACTCAGGTTGCAAAGGCTCTGAAATCTTTCTTTAGTTTGAGAAATTAATATATCTAAACAGCAATAGTATACATTGACTTTGAAATAGGATTCCGGGTCGGAAATTCTCTCATCTTGTGATAACTCATCAAAAAAACGCTTCGTTATCTTTCGCCTACTGTTTTTAAAAACAGTTGTTACCCCCCACTTTTTTGCTAAATCTTTGGATTCATTTAGCAAACTATTAAATGAATTCTGATTTCTTAATTGGCACAGTCTATTTAAAAGATTACTTAATAAAATACTAGATTTCTGTAAGTCATTATTTTCATGCTGTAGAGCTTTAGAAACAGGATTAATAATTTCAAATAGTGAAGAAAAAAATGTAACGAGCACTAAGAAATCAAAACTCTCTAAAATATTAATTATACTTTTACATTCTTCACGTTCATCTTTTTTATTTGAAATTAAATTTAGTTGGTACAAAGTTTTCATGATTAGTAAAAAAATTTTCTTTACTGCTAATAAAGCGTCGTTCCTAGAAGACCATCTGGTAGGACATACCTTTTAAGGGTAATCAAATATTTTTCAGATGAATCGTCACTTAGCATAGCCTAGCGTTTTATACTATTGCCAAAAAAAGTATATATTTTTTCTAAATTATCGAAAAAGTCGATACTTCACGAACATGTCTCGCAGCATCGTTCAAAACCAAGTTTAAAGCGTGCGCAGCACAATGAACATAATCGGCATTTGGAGCATGCTCTTTTTTTAGGGTTTGTAATCCTCCATACACACCCGACATAACATTTGCTCCATCGTATCCCTGTCCTCTACATTTAGTCAAATCAATTCCATATTCTTTAGTCAAATTTAAAATGACAGTTTTCAGACCTGCAGCACTGCAATCGGTTACTGCTATGAATCCTAAAAAGGACTCACAGATTTTTATTTCTTTAGGCACATTATCATCATTTTCTGTAACCGAGATATATCGAAAAACTACAGATAGTTGGTCAATTTTTGACAAGTCTTGTGTTGTATCCAGAATTATTGTCAGAAATGGAGCTTTTTTAATTTCTGAGATAATACTGTTCCTAACGTTAGTACCAAGCAAACTAATAATTTCGTTTTGAATCGTAGGGCTTAAATAATTTATTTCACCTTTCGGTTTTAGAAAAAGTTCTTTTAAAGTTGCATCATAGTTAGATAGCAGACGTGAAATTGCCAGAATCAGAATCATGCCCCCTCAAAGGTAGATTACAAGATACTAAAGTAATTATAACATTAATTATACGATGCAGTACATCTCTCCAGAATGTAATTTTACTATCGATTTCACTTTTCAATAGAGTATCGATGGTATTTCCTTGCAACCAATTATTATAAGAGAGTGAGGCACTAATATGCTGCTATGACTTTTCATGGTCAAGAATAGTTTGTGTGAAATTGCTTCTAACCGAAACACCGTTAACCCAAGCAGAGGAGTACGATT